CTGCTTTGCTCTTGGTGTCATTGAGTGTTGGGGTCTGTCACCCTTCAGGGCTGCTCCTCTGGCCGCGCCGGGCTGTGGTCCCGCACGTGCGGGGGAATTCTGTCCCTGGCCTCAACCTCTGCTCCGGTTCCAGGACACTCTCCAAAAACCTGGTGAAAAATGCCAAGAAAACCATCGGCCGGCAGTACGTGACGCGAAAGAAATACACGCCGCCAGCCTGGGAGCAGCGGAGCAGCCAGCACTTCTCCGAGGACAACGAGGACGAGATCTCAGGTGGGGAGCACCCCGGGAAGGAAGGGAGGTGGTGGGGAGGGAGCAGGAGCTGGAGCAGGAGCATCGTCCCGCTGGGAGAGGTCTCGGCCGTCATTCTGCAGTGAGCTGTTGGGGAGCTTCCCTGGGGGTTGTGGTTTGACCCTGGGTGGGAGCAAAACCCCCTAACAGCCGCTCGCTCACCCTTCTGCCACTCAGGGATAGAGAGAATTAAAGGGGTGAAGGGAAAAGAGACTCATGGGGTTGAGATAAGAACAATGTGATAACTAAACTGCAATAATATTGGAAATAATGATGATGGTAATATACACAAATGTACAAATGGGTGACACACAGTGACACTGCTCACCACCCCATGACCAAGGCTCAGCCTGTTCCCAGCCAATGATCCCAGAGCAGGGAGAGTCCTGAAACCTCAGTCCCGGGACAGAGATAAGAGCCCGAGACAAAGACAACCCCAAGAGAGGGGTTACCCAGAGGGAGACAACCCGGAGCAAGAGAGAGAACTTCCGACCGGAGCCTCCCCTCTCCCCTGGCCATGCAGGACATGGGGTGGAACAGCCCATCGGCCAGTTTGGGTCTCAGTCCTAACCCTGAGGTGGAATCCTGGGCTGGGGGGTGGTCCTCCCTCCCAGCTCCTCCTGCCCCTGCAGACATGGGCACAGCAGAGACGCTGGAAAGTCCTTGACTGTCCTGGCAGCAGCTCTGCCCATCAGTGTGTGATCAGCTTCTCCTCAGCACAAACCCCAACACAGCCTCACACCAGCTGCTGGGAAGAGAGTGACCTCTGTCCCAGCTGAAACCAGGACACAGGGAAAAAGAATCCAAACAGCCTCACACCAGCTGCTGGGAAGAGAGTGAACTCTGTCCCAGCTCAAACCAGGACATTGGGGCAGAGGATTGCCACCACGGTCACCTCTCCCCGTTCCCGATGCTCTGCCAGCTCTCGTCTGCTGGTGGTGGCCAGGCAGCAACTCCACATCCTTCCAGCACCTCCTGAGCCCTGGGGACAGGAGGGGTCCTGTGGTCCGTGGATGAAAACTCACAGATTTAAGCAGGTCCAAGGCAGGTTAGGTCAGGCCTGAGAAGAGCTGGACTGGTTTGAGAGTCACAAAGGACTGGAAGGGACAGGAGTCCTCTGCGGTGGAGGTGACAACCCTCCCAGGTGGGAAGGCTCTTGGAGAGGACACGGATGGGATTTAGGGTTTCAGTGGGGACCAGTCCCTCCTGCTGCGCGTGGGGCTGGCCCAGCAGAGTGGCCATGGCTGATCTGGGATCTTTCCTTCTCTTCACCGAGGAGCTTGCCCCATCCCTGGAGGGGTTCAAGGCCAGGCTGGATGAGGCTTTGGTCAACCTGGGCTAGTGGGAGGTGTCCCTGCCCATGGCAGGGGGTGGCACTGGGTGGGTTTTAAGGTCCCTTCCCACCCGAACCGTTCTCTGATTCTGTGCCTCCGATTCTGCACCTTTTGGTTGCTCCCCAGTTTGTTTGCAGCGCTGTTCAGTTTGAGGTCTGCCCCGGAACATTAAGAGCCTCCACTGTGTCCATCATTTAAGTTTTTAGCAGAAACACCAGCTGCAGTCCGGCCCAGGAGAGATGCCTTTGAGATCCGTTGTCCTGCGGTTCTGGCATTAGGGGACGCGTTGGGAGCATTAGCAAAGAGAGCAGCCACCGAGGATCGTGTCCCTGCCGGGGGTTTTCCCTGGAGGGGAGCATCCCGAGCCCAAAGCCTGGCTGGGGCCGAGGTCTTGCCCCCCTCTCCCGGGAGGTTCCTCTCCTCTGAGGCAGGAGATGACACCAGTGTGATGGAGCAGCTCTGGACAGGTCTGTGCTGGGGGTGTTCCTCCTCTCTCAGTGGTATCAAGCCATGTGAAAACACCAAAAAAACCTGCCCTCACGTCAGTACCCACGCAGCTGGCTTCCCTCTGTGCCTGGAACCTCACGATAAAAGCTCTTGCCCCAAAGCCCGGTGTCCAGCCCGGCCGAGCTCTCCCGTTCCCGGTGCCGGCGCTGGGAGGGGGCTCAGCCCTGCCGAGGACGGACCCCGCTTCCCCTTTGTCTCCGCAGTGTCCGAAGAGATGGACAGAAGCACTTTGACCCCCACCACCACCATCAAACCTTCGGATAAAATGACCATCAACCACTTGGTGGAACGCGCCTGCTGCCGCGACTACCAGCGCCTGGGGCTGGGGACCCTCAGCAGCAGCCTCACCCGCTCCAAGAACGAGCCCTTCCCCATCTCCACCCTCAACCGCATGTATGCCATCTGCCGCAGGTGAGCTGCCGCGGGGCTGCAGGGCCGCGGGCCGGGAGGAGGTGCTTCTTGCAGTTGGTGCAGCTATCGTTCTTGCATCGTTCATTTAAATTTCAATTTGTTGGGATGCCAGAAGAAGTTTCTGAGTAAGGCTGCATGGCAGATGGTCAAAGCGCTATGGCAGCCCATGCAATACAAACTGTTCTTGTCCCGTTAGTGGTCGGTTTGGTGGACATTCCCGTTACAAATGTGAAACACTCCCTATTGTAGTTTTTCTTTTTATTATATTTATATTTAACACAAATTAGTACGTAGTATAAACACACAACAGAATAAATGTACTCTCTTAAAAATAATTATTATAATGCCGAGCGTGTCAAATAGAATTTCTGTTCTGTTCTATTTTCTGTTTCTGTATCTGTTATATTTGAGCTACATCAAACAGGAAAAGGGATGGAACCATCCTGTACTCATTAACAACAGCTGCCTCGAGACAGGAAGCTCGGGACTCCCCTCAGCGGGGGTCTTTCCTGCTTTGCAGACCCTGCGCTCTCTCCCCGCAGCTACCCCGGGCTGCTCATCGTGCCGCAGAGCATCCAGGACGCATCCCCCGCTGCTACCGCCAGAACCGCTTCCCTGTCGTCTGCTGGCGCAACGCCCGCACCAAAGCCGTGCTGCTGCGCTCGGGGGGGCTGCACGGCAAGGGCGTCGTCGGCCTCTTCAAATCCCAG